TCAATTTAGCCCCCCCCCCCTCCCCCTAAATTGATACTATCAATGATACGCTGGTTTCAGGCCCTGGGCTGCCTCCCTGCTAAAAGCAAGACTAAACTCAAGCTCTGCTATGCGAGCTTTCGTGACTAAAAGCTCGTAACCCTCGCCCCCGGAAGCTTAAAACCCAAGATGCTGAAGCCTAAACCCACGCAAACCCTAAACCCCCCAAACGGCCCTAAACCTTGAACCCTCCTACACATCCTGTACCACTAAACCCCAAACCGTGTCATCCCCAACCACCCTAAACCCTTTTGACTCAACCCTAAATCCTACCACCCGAAGCCAAGCTCGTAGCGCACGGCTCGGCGCGACGGCTTCTGCCGCCAAGCGAGGCCTCTTTGGGGTACCGGCCGGTTCGAGGTATTCAAGGCATAGGGCGTTTAGGGCTTGCAGAGGTGAGGGTTCAGGGCTTGGTGTTTTCTGGGTTTAAGCTTTGGGGCTTCTGGCTTTGGGTATATAGTAGGGCCTTCAAAAAGTTTAGCTTGGTGCTTGGGGTTTACGGTCAATGGGGTTCGAAAATACTGTTTCAATGCGGTGTCGAGCTGGGCTGAACCGCCGCAGAACCACTCCAAAACCCCTCTAGGAGTTCTAGACCCTAAATCCTGCTTTCCACACCACTCCAATGTAGTTATGTCATGTGCATCTCTGTCTTATATATATATATATGTGTGTGTGTATATATATATATGCGTGTGTGCGTGGGGGGGGGGGGAATGTGCAGATACATGCACATGATGAGTGAGACAGAGAGAGAGAGAGATATATATATATATATATACATACACATAGGTTATACATACACACACACACACACATATATATATATATATATACAGACACAGCCGAGCAAAAAACGAAAAGCCGGGTCTCTGGCGAAGCACCACGGGCGCCGACCCGAAGGGCCACCGAAGAGGACGCAGAGACCTTCACTTACCGAGTTGCGGTTTAGGGTTTAGGGGTTTAGGGGTTTAGGGTTTAGGGATTTAGGGTTTTTGGTTTAGGGTTCAGGGGCTAGGGATGACAATATCAAAATGATTGGGCTTTGATAGGATTTAGGGTTTAGGGTTGGTTCGAGTTATAGAGTCTTGTTGTGGATCGGGTATGGGGTGTGGGATACCATCAGAGGCCGGGTTTCTTTTTTTTCTCGGTCTAGGGGCTTTAGGGATTCAGGGCTTTGGAGCTACGCGTTTTCGGGTTGTAAGGAAGTTTGGGGGAGCCTTGTTGGCTGTCCGGAATTGCTTAAGGGGCTGGAGCGTAGCTAGAGTGCTCGAGGATGCCGTAGAGAAAAGGTTCAGCATCAGATGGCCCATGTTTGAAGGTAGCATGATTCGATGAATGCTGCATCAAGAGCTGCACATCCCTTTTCCGCCCCCACATTGTATAACCAAACTCGTAGAAATCCCTCTCGAACACCTTGTTGATAAGTGCGATGGAGCTGTTAGACAGATCACCAGCTGTCAAACTGTGACGACGAGCCTGATCAGGCGAGAAAAACTCCATCTCGGACCAGCAGGTCGCAACGTCCACAGACGGATCACGCTGGGACAGAAAGTAGCAGAAGGAGCTTGCCAAGCCCTCTGTTCGGAGCACGTTCGAGCACCTTCTCTCTCCAGTTCTAGTTGTGATAAATGCCGAGACCGGTAAGACAATGTTGTGGTTCCGCAAGTCGCGATCCCTCCATGCATTCCTAACATGGACCCGGACCCAACTATTGAGTTCACTGGCATTGGTGATGCCGCGATGTCGGGCAGCACTTACGACGCGGGAGTAGGGATTCCTCGCAAAGCAGAATGTATCCTTTGACGGAAACGGCCAGAAGTCGGCAGAGCAGTGGAACTTCGCCTGGCACGCGATGCCCTTGGCCTCAAAAGGACTAAGCCACACTAGCAGCCCGTGCCTTGCTGCATAGGTCGTAATCGTCATTCCCCCGGTCTTCGGGATGTGCATGAAGCGCAAGCCATAGAGGCCAGAAGTGCGGGGGGACTGAACGGGGAGGCCAGACCTGCGTGCTTCTCTGAAGTTGACATCTGCTAGCTGCTGGAAGATCGGCCAGCGTGATGCAAGGATGAGATTTAATGGAATAGACTTGTACAAATGATCAAAGGCACTTTGCCAGTTACCTTCTGCAGCGTGAGCGAACAAATATCCTGCGAGTGATAGCAAACCAATAGGGCAATCCAGCCATCCCAAGTAGGGTATGGCAAAGACATGTCGAGATGCTCCCATGATATATGTTACCAGTTCTTCTTGTGCTACGACTTCCTCTTCGATCACGTCTGGTCCACTCTTGAGGGACGCATCTGCGTTGAGCAAGTAAGCCAGGTTTTCCCAGGTTCTTCGCCCAAGGCAGTCCACATCGATCTTGTCCCAGTGAAGAGCTGGCGCTTGGG